TTAGCTTTTGTAGAACCATTGATTGAGTAAAGCTTTTGCAGAAGTGTTGTCATGAATGCATATAAAATAATGATTAAAAAATTTTAGAAATTCATAAAAAATATCAAATTCAGAAGCTTGATGGCAAAAGCTCTACTCCAGAAGCACTATGTTTCTAACGTTAACTTATAGCCATTTTGAAGCTCAAAACAACTTCTAGAAAAGCTGAAAGCACTTTTTAGAAAACTGGGTTCAACTTAAAGAAGATCATTGTAAAAGCTGGGCCAATCAGGTTCTATGTTTACTCATGGAAGAGATGATGTACTCAAACTAAGAGACCTTTTCGTTGGTACATTGGAAATGAGCCACTTAGCAATTGCAAAGGTTTGAACAGACTCCAAATCAAGGTAATTAAAGTTATTGGCTACCAACTTGGCTAAGCTCTTGTGGGTAAACCATGAAACCATTTTAGACAAAATAACAGACACCAACTTCTTCATGATTGAACAAGATCAAACATATCAAAGTTTAAGTTTTAGAACCCACCCTTTAGTACCATCTATAGGATCCAAAACCCAATGATGGCCCTGGGAACCACCTTCAGATTTGCCACGGTCAATGGCCTGGAGAATATCTTCAGTAGATAAAGGAGAAACACTATATGAACCATCACTTGCTAGAGTATCATTCACAAGTTTTGTAATGCGTTCTAGTGTTTCCTGAGCACCATCCGTGCAAAGATCTCCAGAATCCTGGGCCAAATAGAAAAAGGATAAAAGAAAAACTGAAACCTACTTTTCAGAGAAGAAAACAGAACACCTGCCTCATTCACACAAAATATTTCCAAAAGTTCAATAATCTACCTCTTCAGCAACTAATGATAATTTTTCAGAAGGAAATTCCTTCTGCAGCACAAAACTAACCAATGCTTGTGAACCTGACAAATTGAAATCAAAAGAAATGTGATAGAAACAGGTTAGTAAGCAAGTGCAGTCCCTTTTGATCAACCCTAAAATCTGAAACAACTCTTTGACAAAATCCTTATTCTAATTACACCTAATTGATCAGAAAACAAAGTGGAAACAGAAATCATCCCCACTCACATGAACTAGAGTGTATCTTTTTTTAGCTGAAGCATTTAATTCAATAGTCTTTTTTGTGGGGAGAGGGGAAGGGCAGGGTATTGGTAGTATAGTTATAATAGATGTCCCACATTAGGCTTCAATGTACAACCAAAAATACAGGCTAGATACCAAACCATAATAAAAGGGGGTAAATGAAGGGACTTAGTAAGGGAAGTTTGAGATGGAAATTGTACGTGTACTAATTCTGCTTCATGAGTGGGAGAGGTGGAACAGAAGGATGGAAAACTTGCATATTCATTACAGGTCAGAACATTTATGTTTTCAAGCAGTAACAGAACTTATAGAATTTATGTCAACAACGAAATTCAGTTTTCCAGAAGGTATTCCAGAAGCAAATCATTATTGCTAGTAATCCAAAAATATAGTGAAATGCAACTTTACCTAGAAATTTTAAAACCATTTGGAAAAGAATTTCAGAGAGCAGCATATACAACATATATACAAATAGAAACTTAATGGCAATCCTTTTCAAATCCAAGACACTAAAATCTGGCTACAAACCATAGTCAGCCACTGTAACAGGACTTTTATCTGACTTTGACTGGACATCTGATTGCAATAGATCCTTTTGCACCTTCTGAAGATAAAGAAACAAAAAATACTTGAGATGAGCTTCTTTCGATTGACAGCAAAAGGGATAAAGTTTTCAGTAGCACTGATATTTATTGGTTTAGGGCATTAGGTATATAATCTAAAATTACTCTTAATATCTTGAAGAACAGTTACAAAAAGGGTGATGACATTTTGATTATTTCAACTAAAGTAATAAGCTCCCTGATCTTGAAAGCTCATTACTCCAGATAATTGGTAAAGTACATCTATGTTTAGAAGTAAAGTTACAGACTTTATGCTAAAAAAAAGTATAATTTTAATTAATCAAGGAAATATGAGTAAGATATATTGCACAAGGTACTCAGTGATTAACTCTAGTGACATAAAAAACCCAAAAATTGCTGCCAAAAAATAATGATCTGCTGACAAGAGAGGAAAACAATGATCCCTGGTTGAGAAAAGAACAAATTTCCCAGTACAATTTGAAATAAATTATGATCCAAAGTTCAAAGATATAATAATGATACTAAAAGAGATTCATTTGCATCATATGACACAAGAAGTGCATCATTTTCTAACAACTGTCATCTATCAGGTAAGGTTACATGTGAAACTACTGCCAGATGGGGCAATCAATATACTGCACAATAGTTCGATAGCAGGTTTTCTCGGAAGCAACCAATATACACTCTAGTAATAAATCTAAACAGACATATTTTAGCTCAAAAAAGATTAATTTGAATTTAGGTAGGGCTGTGAAATGCAGATAGTAACCGATTGAACTGGTAGCGAGATTGATTCAAACCACCAAATGGTGAATTAAATCGGTTCAGATAATTGATATTAAACCAAATGGGGGCACCACTGATCCTCACAAGCAACCAAATAAAACCAAACAAGAGGAAATTAGCCAAAACCCCCAAATTCACAGCATGGGTTTCACCCAAGCAACAATTTTAGAATCTGGGTTTGCTCATTCATACTGCATTTTACAGTAACAAAATCATCATAAAAAAAAATGTTCACAAAACATGAAAATTGGAAAACAGGAAACAAAATGCAGAATCCAAACATTGTCACGAAAATTAGGCCAAAAACCTAAAACAAAACGCAAGCGCCTGATTTGTGAAAAATTGTAAGCTGAGAGAGTATAACCTGACAGAGTCGAGCGGCGAGGGAGGCGGCTTTCTTGGCAGCAACAAGCTCTCTATCGTAAGACATTGTCACCAGCACCGAAGAAGAACAATATGAGGTTTTGGGAGAAAAAAGGGGAGATTTGGTAATTATTTTGGGTTGGATTCTGTAAATTATAGGCATCCCTCTAACTAATATATTTATTATTTATTCCCTTCTCCTATCTTCCCCCTTTGGCAAAATTGGGAAGACGAAGGCCTGCGTCTGTCTCTTCTCTACCTTCAATTTTCTTAATTCTTTTTAGGTTAAAATCTCTTTTTGGTCCCTGAACTATTAACAGAGCCCTGATTTCATCCCTAAACTTAAACAATCTTGGATTTGGTCTCTACTGTTAACCATTTTTACCCCAATTTAGTCATTCCGTTAATTTTTCACATTAATTGACGGCCAAATATAGAAGAAACATTATATGTCACACAAAAAATTACCAAGTTGGCAAAAATAAATGATACGGCCATTCCAACTCATCTCACCCAAAAAAATTTTTTATTTCCTTCCTCTCTTTCATCTACCATTTCTTCAACTTCTACAAACCCTCTGCCAACCCTAAGATCTCAACCAATTTGTAACATCTTAGCCAATCTATTCATTTCAACCAATTTCTACTCTTACTAGGTTCATCATCATCATCAAATAATAAAACTCATCAAAAAAATAAAATTTTATTTAAAAATTTTTTGCTCATGGATTCTTTCAAACCCAAGCATGCTGGGTTCAAAGGAACCCAGCACCTAGGTTCAAAGGAACCCAGCACCTAGGTTCAATCGAACCTAGTAGCACCCTTTCTTTCTCCGTCCACTTCCTTACCTTACCTTCTTTATCAATCAACTCTTCATCTTCGTCAGTCAATTCTTCACCATCATCAATCAACAAAACCAAAA